TTTTTAAGGTAGTTTAACATCTCAGTGGATACAGTATGATAATTTATATTATATCTAACTGTAAATTGATTTTATGTAGCACTAGGCTTTGACTGGAACGTTCCAGTTTCTGAATTGGCTTTGGTTGAACTTATTTTTATAGTTGCTCTAACTACATGTTCGGTGTTGTTGTCCTTCATCCCCTCAGTAAGACTGTCCTGAAACATGGTGGGGACAGTGTGTCCATGTGTTAATCAGTTCAGTTCTGGTCCTCTTATTTGCTTGGTCTCATCTTACTAGAGGCCCTTTGTTTCTGTGTTTGCCATTAACAACATGTTCCTTTTTTTCTACTTATCCATTCAATCCAGATCTGCATAGGGCCCAGCTAATAATCATTGCAATATTTAAACATTGGTTTCCAAAACCCAAGCTATTAATCTCTGCAGCTCCTCCAGAGAACTGTTGGGCATCAGTTTCATTGGTCATAGTTTGAACTGTGGTTTGTGAGATTGTTAAAGCGAGAAACATACTCAACTCCGTCTCTAACCCATTTGCAGGGTTTCTTGATCCTCTATATGTTGTTTTGTTCGTTGATGTTTAGAAGAAAAGTTAAAGGCATTTATTTTGAGATTAAAACATGTACGGTTTCCAAATTCTTATCATCCCCCCCCCCCCCTTTTTTTTTTTTTGCACTACTTCTTATTCAACGATCATTAAATTTGTGTGGTTATCAGAAAATGTGAGAAAGTTCAAGGGTCCTAAATGCTTTTGAAAGTGAACTTATATAGTGTAGTCACATACTATTCTGTCATTCAATAGGCATTTTGTTACTGCAGAAGTGAAAATCATAAAATACTAAATATGTGACAAAAAACAACTAATAACAAAAAAAGAACGAGACAAAGCATTCAGCTTGAAATGATTTATTTGAACTATAGGTTCTCATTTTAATCCTGACTTCCCCTTCACAGATGCTTTGAAATAAAAACTGAAAATTAAGGTGCTAATAAACTTCCACTGCTTTCTTCCACTTTTGTAGAGTTGTAGAATATTTAGAAAAATTCAGAGGGTAAGTTTGGTTAGACGTTTAAAGGAATAGTACACCCAAAACATGATTAGCCTTCATTTTCTACTCACCCCCATGCTGAACAACACTCTGGAGTACTTTTTTGATATCTCAAATGCATCTGGAGATCTGGGAGCCTTCTTGCTGTCTGCTGACATTCAAATAATGGAGGTCTATGGTGCCCGAGACAGAAAGGTCCATAAAAGTCCACAAAAAACGTGTCAATATTCCTCCATACTGCTCGTCCAATGTATTCCAAGTGTCCTGAGTGGGTAGCATCCAGAATTTACTCGAAACGAAGTCATTTAGAATGTTTTTAGAGCATAAACAGTAGTGTATAGGATTTCCTGAAAGCGCGCGCCTGGGCGTTAACGACGCTACGGAAGCCGGCAGACCAAACCAGATGAAAGTGCGCATTCAGCGTCTGCTCTGCCAATAATGCAAGCGTAGAAGAAGAAATGTGCTGTTTACCTGTGCAAAGAAAGAAACACCGAAAGAAAAATGTCTGAGGACTTCAGTGTTGAGGAAGAGCATGAGTTCTTTGCCGAGCTGAATGCGCACTTTCATCTGGTTTGGTCTGCCGCGGTTTCCGTAGTGTCGTGAACGCGCTTTCAGGAAATCCTATACACTACTGTTTATGCTCTAAAAACATTCTATATGACTTCGTTTCGAGTAAATTCTGGATGCTACCCACTCAGGACACTTGGAATACATTGGACGAGCAGTATAGAGGAATATTGAAACGTTTTTTGTGGACTTTTATGGACCTTTCTGCCTCGGGCGCTGGGCACCTCCATTATTTGAATGTCAGCAGACAGCAAGAAGCCTCCCAGATCTCCAGATGCATTTGAGATATCAAAAAAGTACTCCAGAGTGTTGTTCAGCATGGGGGTGAGTAGAAAATGAAGGCTAATCATGTTTTGGGTGTACTATTCCTTTAACTGATCTGAACCTTCTTCAGTGCATTGTAAAAAATCAAAGACATCAGGGGGAGAAAAGTACAAAAAAAAAGAAATCACAAGGACACATTATTCATAAAAACAGAAAAATACAGCAATAAAGCCACCCAATCTTGTTAGATTACAATCCATCAATGAATGGTTTTGTCTGAGTAAGGTCCGATTTGCTGTACCTTGGTAGAGCTAGATTGTTGCCTAAATGAGATTCCCCATAAACATACTTTTCAATAATTGTAGAAATCTCTGATTTTAACATGCAGAGAAAAATCTAAATGACACTCTAACATCATCATACAGGCAGACATTGAGTCAATTGAGAAAATGTATATGTTTCCTCTGTGGGAAAAAAAAAGTCTTTGAATTTTGATGTTTCAAAAATCTAATTCAAATAATTAAGAAAATCTTAAACAGTTTCACTGTTTTGCTCTTTACAAAATCAGAGCTACTGTACTCTGCAAAAACTGATCTAAAATAACTTAAAAAACAAATTAATCTATTTTCCCTTCATTTCAGCGGCTAAATAAGAAGATTTGCCTCTAAGATGAGGATTTTTGCACCCATTGAATATTTTGCATGTGAAATAAGATATTGGGTGTTTGCTTTCTTCTGGGGAAGATGAATCCTTAACAGAATCTCCCATTAACATCTTTACGTATATAAGTTACAGATCTATACATAATATTCGTGTCAGCAGTCATGTGTTATCATGTGGACAGTGTTGATTATGATTCACTATACACAAACTATGCTAATCAATATGTGTCTGCCCTGAAAGGAAAATGAACTGCGTCTTCTGATAAATGAAGACTACACTCTGAACATAAACGGGCCAGTCAGTTGTGCAGTAGGGATGAAAGGGTATGACTAAACAGCTTAGACAGAGCAGTAGAACCACCAGTGTATATTAAAATGCACAGATTTCTGATTATCTGATTAACAGCAGTAGTTGGTGGACAGAAATTGTTATTTTAACTATTAAATGGTCTCAGGCCCTGGCAGCAATACACCTGGTATTTTCTTTATACCTGTCTGTTTCCTCCACTACAACACAAAAAGAAAAACTAACGCTTTCTTTTACAGTACATCAATAGCCATGTAATAACATGGTAATAGCATAGCAAGTCACACTACATTACTTGGTAACGAGAATTTGGAAATTACTCACCAAATGGACACATTTGGTGAGTAATTACCATTAGGTTACAATGGTTTCTATCATTGGCCACCACCTACCAGCAGAATACAAAGTAAATTGTAACTTATGATCAGGTAAATAATGCATTATAAAACTGAATTTAATTAACATATAAATGAGAGTTTAGTTAAGAATATTGGCTTGCTGTCTTCTAGGTTTGCTGAGTCATAAACTGCATTTTACCAAATAATAACGCATTAATGTATTGCTGTTGGTGAAATGACTGAGTTACCTGGTAATAAAGGTTTTAAAATATAAGAAGTCTGACTTTACCTTGTTTGCCTAAAATTTGAAGCACACTTACCAAAATTTTCCATAAAGATTTTCTTGTTACCTAGGATATAGTGTAACTTGCTATGTCATTACCATGTTATTACATGGTTATTGAGGTAGTGTAACGACAGCGTTACCAGAAAAACAACATCTAAAGTCTGCTGAGTCTGCTTTGCTAGAAGAGGACCCTGAACATGGTCAAGGCAAGGCTCAGCCTATTTTCATCCAAAAGAATGGTGGCTCCTGCTTCCTCTCTTAAAGTTAACTATTACTATCAAGGTAATTTTCAATTATAAGCATTTATGCATTGTAACTGTGAATTTGAAGTAAAACAGAGAAATAGAATAGACGTTTTGTAATTTTAGATTTTTTATAAGATTTACAAATACAAAAAGTTGCATCTCTTTAAACTTTTAAGCATATGTCCTAAAACAAAAATCCTATATAAAAAAAAAAAAAATCCAAATCCAAAACCTTGTAGAGTGAGTGGAAGCTAAGATAAAATTGTAAACCGGAATTTGTGACTCACAGCAGCAGATCTGTACAGTTGTATTCACTGTTTACGAAATAATAATAATAAAAAAAATTAGCTGTGAAAAATTTAATCCAAATATTTGAATCTGTTTTGCACCATTTTTTTCAATATTACCTGGAGCAAAACTGAAAATGCAAAATATTTATGTGTGATTCACAGAGCACAATCTGATACTTGTTGTTCCAGAAAGTTTAGGTGATTTAACATTTTCTGTTTGTCATCTACTATGGCTCCTTCTCAACTGAAAGCCCCAGGCTTTGCATTACTCTGGTTAACAGGAATTCCAAATAATTCATCATATTCCTCTTTCATTACCCTAGAAGGCCCTGGGACAATGAAAGTCAGTTGAAAGTCACCACAAGGCTAGTATGACACAACATGTGTGTGTCTGTGTTGGCAGTAACAAAACAACAGCTGGTTAAAGGTGGCAAGATAGGCGGACTCAAAAAGAAAAAAGCCAGACAGTCCACCAATTGTTGCTCCTTGCAACCCCATCCCCTCCAAAAGCCTGAATAAGCCTAGCAAAGTACTGGGGCGCTTGGAGGGACCAAAGCACTTTTAAAGGAAAGGGCATATAATGAAAATTAGTCACATTATTTTGTATGGAAAAACAAAGCATGATTTGCAAAGACTTTTGCCAGCCCTGGAAAAGAGACTAATTACAAAACTTTTTTTTTTTTTTTCTCTCTGCAGCTTCAAATTCACATTAAAATGCACAAATACTTCTGATTCAAAATGACCTTAATACATTTTCTTCCTATCATTATATATTCATTAAAATTTTAAAGTTAATGGGAAAAAAAGAGATTAAAAATATATTGATAAAAAAGCATCCATACTTTTTGTGGTGTTTAGCATAAAAACAATAATTGGCACATGTAAAGTTTCCAGTAGACCCCATTGCATCCAGTCCACATGTATAAAAAAAATTAAATAAAAACTTATTTTTATTACGAAAAATGACGTTGGCCTGCAGACAGCAGCTGCTAAAAATACTAATAACAATCTACAAATTTTCCTTCAGAGTGGACAGGGCCTCCAATACTTAAAAAAGCCCACATACAGTGCCTTTCAAAAAGTGTTCATATACTAAAACCATAACCTGTATTATCATGTTACAACCACATACCTCAGAGTATTTTACTGGATTGCATTTGACAGACCAACTGAAAATACAGCACTCTATAACTTAAAAGTGAAAGGAAGAAAAACAGTCAGTTACATAACTTAAAATGTAAAACTTAAAGAACTGTTTACAGCTGCCAGACTTGGGGTTATATTGGGACTTCCCTAGTTTGCTCTCTATAATACTACTTGTTCACGAATGTACTCTATCAAAGCTCCTAGGAATTCAAACAAAAGATGGAGTTTTACTGAGATTAAATTACACATTGGCAAGGATTTCTGAATTGAAAAAGCATGTGATGTTTATTTAGGTGCAGCAGAGTAGAGAGAGGCTAATAAGTGTACAGGAGCACCACAGGGGACTGTACTCTCTCCATTCCATCTACTACATGTTTGACTTCTAGTACCCAACAGAATCCTGTTATCAGCAGAAATACTTAGATGACTCTGCAGTCATTGGGTGCATCAAAGATCGACAATAAGCTGAGTACAGAGAGATGGTGAACTGCTTTGTTGCATGGTGTGGAAACAATCATCTGATCCTGAATGTCAACAAAACAAGGGAGATGATTGTAGATTTCAGATGAAACAGGAACAAGTTGAATCCTATTAACATCAAAGGAAAAGAAGTGGAGGTGGTTGAGGAGTATGAATACCTTGTTGTTCACATGGACAACAAACTAGATTGAAGACACAACTGTGAAGCCATCTAGAAGAAGGAACCTCTGGAGATTATTTCACAAAGAAGAATTATTCATAAAGTGAAGAAGATTATGGGCAACGGTGAGCAAAGTGTTTTAAACAACAGTGTCCTTAGTCAGAGGGTTCTCCAGATCCGGTGCAAGGCAGACCTCTATAGAATACAGCTATCAACACGTACTAAACCCGGATAAATTATAACCTATGAGTCCCTGCAACATTTAATTATCCTTTGGGATTAATAAAGTATTTTGAAATTGACTTGTATTTGTTGTATTTTTCTACTTGTTTTGCAAACATGTACCATTTTTTCATCCATTTCAGGTATTCTATGGTCTGTCTTGGCTTGTCAGGAATACAATGCAATAAAAAAAACACTGAAGTACATTGTGAAAAAATATAAAGAGTTTCAAGGGAATACAGAGTTTGATTAGTTTTAGTTTTAATATAATGTCAATAAAGCAGCCATTTTTCTCAACATCCTGATTTGATAGTAATCTAAAACATCCCCCATGTCCAAAGTCTTGTCAAAGCACCAAGCTTGTTCAAAAAACTTCCTCTTCAGTCTCCATTGGTTTACCAGAGTCATTATGTTCACACAGTTAAAGAAGAGCTTTTTTTTTCTTAAGGCCACAGAATTAAACATTTTGATGTAGACTTCAGGATAATACATTTGAACTCTTTTAGATCTTGAAAGGTGGGAACTGTAAATTAAATCAACACATACAAGACACAAGGGTATGGTGCCAGAGGTGCTATGCATATGCACTCATCGCTTTGAGTCAGACAGATTGGTTTTAAAAGGGCCGCTTTCCTCACCAGACACCGTGTCAGTTTTGCTGAGAAAAGAGACATTGTCATTCCGACGACAGATCCCTACTAGGGTTTGTAATCCTTTCTTCTTGTTGAATGTCAGAAGGAGGAAATCCTGCAACCCATGATTGAGTGTCTGTTATACCCTGAATGCCATTGTGATCTGCAGCTCCTCAAGCATGAAGTCTCTTCCCTTCTGTAAACAACTGCTTTAAAAATCGTCAGTGACACAAGTAGCACAATTAGTTCCCAAAGGTCAAACGTCGTCATCATCGTCGTCGTTCTGCCTGAGCCTCATCTCGCGCCTCTGTGCTCTCTGGCTCCCTCTCTGAGGAAGACGACCGATGGGGTCCTGGCAGAGGATGTACTGTTTCCAGATTTTAAGAAACGCTGTACGAAACTTCTTGATGCGGAAAGCGTAGACGATGGGGTTGACAGCTGAGTTGCCGTGGGAGAGGATGATGGCTATGTAAATTAGGTACGTTGACGGCTTGCAGTCAGGGATGAAGAGGGAGATGCAGTTGAGGATGTGAAGTGGGAGCCAGCTGACTGCGAAGAGGAAAAGGACGAGGGCAAGAGACTTGGCTAATTTAAGTTCCTTTCCAAAGTAACGCCTGGGATCCATGTGGCTTGCTGACACCTAAAGACATAAAAAACAAAGCCCATCAGCCAATGTAACAATAAACCAACAACTTCTTTTTTTTATTTTAAGTTCTTGATCATATTAATAAACATATGATAAGTGTCAATTTTCTTAAAATTACAAGTTTTATCCTTTAAAAGATCTTTACATAACAAGGTTAAATTGTTTATTTTACATTATTCTGAATTACGTACATCATCATATTTTAACAATTTACTGTAAAAGCTGTATTAAATACTAACTGAATAGACTAAAATATGTTTTCTTACTCATTATTACACGTAACAGGATAAAACATTGCATAAGTTACTGAAAAATTATTAAAAAAATATTTAAAACATACTTTTCAATAAACAGGGATGTAAAACTATAATTTACAGACAGGGTATGTCGCTTCAACATGCTGTCAGACTATTTCCCACTTTATTTCATTAGAGTGAATGCTTACTGGTATATAGGTCAATGTTTTTAGTGTAATCAGGTGCTTTTAGCAGTGCTTTTAAACTGGTGGTGCTGGTTGCTCAGTGTAATGTTAAAACTTAGCTACATATAGCTTACAAAAGTCTTTCCAATCTACGATGCTTATTGTGAGCATTTTCTATCGTGTTAAAAATGTTTTGTGTAATGCCCTTGTAGGTACCAGATTGACTCGGGCTGCCAGATTGACTCGGGGGCCTGCGCCTTTTGATGACGTCACAATACATAATTGTTTTAACGTTTGCACAATTGCGCAAAACATTTTGATTGGTCTGGACAGCTTACTAAAGTAATTATAGCGGGGTGTAGGTTTTATTGGAAAGCGGGATTGCGGTTTGTAAACGGACAATTTTACGAAGAAATTCTCCATGGTCCTTGCGCCTTCCGATGACGTCACCGAAATCGCCATGGGCCTTGCGCCTCCCGATGACGTGACATTATGGCAACGCCACTCAAACAAACTACATTGAGCCCGCGGTCTGCATTTGTAACGAGAATAAATTCAGGAGAATGAAGCTAAAGGGATACATAAAATAAACTTGTAATATTACAAAACCAAAAATACTACGAATACAAAGTATATTCAGAGATTAAAGTCCCTCTGATACTGTTTAAGTGACTGAGAAACTGCAGATTTGCCACATTTAAGATGGCGGACGCTCTGACGCATCTCAAGAGGCGCAGGCCCCCCGAGTCAATCTGGCAGCCCGAGTCAATCTGGTACCTACACCCTCCATGTTTCTATTGTCACGCACTCGCCTTTCGAATCACAACAAAGAAGTTGACGCTGCTCCATTATGCAGCACAGCTAAACTGGCACTGGCATAATTTTTTTTTCCATTAAACAAGTTAAATAATCCAAACTGAACTTTGGATCAATTAATGTATCTGCTGTGACATGCTTCCACTCTGGTATTACTTATCTTGCAAATGCCAGTGAGCTTATGATTAAACACAGCAGCGCCCTCTACTGGATGCAAGCACACTATAACTCAGAAAGAAATTCCTTTAAGCAGACGTCATCTATGAATCTGATTAAGCCAAATCAAATTTAATAAAACATTTATTGACAATTAAAGAGAAGTCGTCTATTTGTTTACATTCTTAATCCCAACCAACAACCTAAATGTTGGGGTGTTTAAAAGTCTAAGCATTAAGAACATTTAGACAACAAAAACAATTCCCTCTTCAATATATTGTCATTTGAATAATAAGGCTTTACCTTCTTGTCGAGTTGTTTATGGATCATGTAGAAAATCTCTACGTAGATGGCCAGCATGAGCAGCAGAGGTGGCAGGACCCAGCCAAAGAAGTTAAAGTAGACCATATAGTCCATGCTGATGACTGTCTCAAACTCACAGGTCACCACCAGCTCTTCGGTGATCAAGGTGTTGTTGTTAAGAAGACGTTGCAGATTGTTCCAGCCAAACATTGGCGTGAGGCCAACAAGGATGGATACCAGCCAACATAAAAGCACAGATGTCCCAGCTCGCCGAGGGGTCACCACTCGCTTGTAACTATGACAACAAAGCAGAAGATAGGGCCATGAGGAAAACACTCAACTATCAGAGGAAATGTATTATACCAGACCCCGCTGTTAACCTAACAAAATTATTTTTATATACAAAGGTGTAAAATAAATTGAAGAAAGTTTTTTTTTTTTTTGATGGGGTCATGGGGGGTGCTGGTGCCAATGTCCAGCTGTCAACGGGCGAGATACACACTGGACAGATCACCAGTCCATTGCAGGGCAACACAGAGACAAACAACCATTCATGCACACACACACACCTCAGGAGAATTTAGAGAAGCCAATTAACCTTGTGGACTGGGAGGAAGCAGCAGTACCCAGAGAGAACCCAAGCATGCTAAGGGAGAACATACAAACCCCATTCAGAAAGACCCCGAACTAGGAATCGAACCCACAAGCTTTTTGCTGCAAGGTAACAGTGCTGTCATTGAATGCCAACCAATTGAATTGAAATTTCATGAAAATAAATTAAATGCAGGTAGTGTGACTAACATGACAAAATGTAAAAATGAAAAAATCTTTTGCAGCATATATTACAAAGCTGGTTTTAGAAGAAGGGGGGAAACCATCTGTTACTTCAAGATAATACCGATAATACAGAAATAGTTGTAATTTGTTTAAAAAGCATTATACATTTGAAATAATAAGAAAAAAATACATTTTTACTCATTTTTGGAAAAGTTTTTTCAGTGAAAGAATGGTAGGAGCATTTAGATGAATAAATGTAATAAAAAGAGACAGAAAAAAATCTTGATTGTAATTGATAAAAATGCAATATGCACCCATAGAATCACAATTACATGCATCCTAAAATCATTAAAATGATTGCAGAATCTCCAATAAACATCAGTGTAAAGCTGCATTAATAAAGCCTTTAAATGTTATTAAAGTTTGCCCTTTGGGTTCATGAAAGTCATTGCAGAACACTCTCTGATCAGTGTTACATGTTGTTTTGTATTCAGTTTGGGTGCCTGTGGTAAAATTCTGACTCTGCTATGATTTTCAGACTCATAGTGACGTTCATGCAATGTTTGTTCAGAATATCTCCTTATGTATATTTGACTTTGGAGCTTAAGAAAGGGGACATCCAGTCAATTAGCTACAAAATGTGGATTTCTTGCATCTCAAAAGAGAAACCTGTGAGCTGTTCTAATGTCTAATGTCTGTAAAACTCATGACAAAGGTTTTCGTCATACCAATCAATGACTTACGCTTGCATAAGCCTGCTCTCTGTTTTCATAGGTGTGATCTATAAACTACAAGCTGACACAATAAGAAGAAAGTGCTGAGTCGATATTATGAGGAACATGGCAGGCATCTTCCTCTTCCCTTATCACAGCTGCATGCAGTCTGGCTTGTCTGACAGTCAAGTGGACCAAACACAATCACACTGACGAATATGCTTCTTTTCTCAACACTTTTCCCCAAACCTTTTACAAAAGATTTACTCCTTTTTCCTGTGAGTGTTTTCAAGCACAGGACAAAGGAGTTAATGGATGTAGAAATAGATCATGGCCGTAGAAGGACTACTCACATGTGACGTCAGTATGTCCTTTTCACTCCACATGTGCAATCCAACCCCTGCAGCAGCTGGTAAAGCTTCAGGTCTCTGGCTGCATACAGATAAGCTTTCTATCTGCCAAAAAAAATATCTGTCTGAATTCTCACTGTTGTCTGTCCATCACTGCTTCACTTCTGGGTTTTCAGTTTGCTGTCCAGCACCCGTATTTCCCTTTCAAGCCCACCAGCAAAGCATGAGAAATTATGTCTGAATTTTAAGCAGCTCTTATCCAAGCACATAGGATGTTAAAAAAAAATAATAATAATCAGTGCTACTGAGGAAAATTAAACTTGCATTGCATTTCTTCCCGCATTTAAAGCAGCTTAATTAATATATATTTGTGACTATTTTCCAACAGTGCGGAAGTGTGTTGTTGCAGAACACATTTTGTCAGACGAAGGTTTCGTCTGATTTGTAAGGAATTCAATATTTCAGTTGGCAGCTCATGTCCACCTTGTCTCATGAATAACAAATTTTTTTTTTAAACAAAAAGAAACCATATCTGATAAACAACTAGGTTATAATGAGTGTTTGAGCTGTGACTCTGAGAGCAGCTTCATAGTCTGTATCCTGCTTAAAGGTACAGTAGGTTTGGCCAACTAATTGAATTTGCAATATAATCTCAATTTAACAAAATGCCTTTTTTAACTTGCGATTTTTGTTCACATTACATTCAACCAGACTAAGAAACTGAGGGGAAAGAGAGTTACAGCTAGTGTGCAGATCCATCCATGCAACGAGAAGTGAGCACTTTTTCACACAACAGTAATGGTAAAGTCTTGCAGCTAAGACCTTCTGGACAAGAACATTTTCAAGGTCATAAGAATAATGAAACCATGGAGTTAAAAATCAACATGTTTTTTAGGAAGGCAGAAAATTACTGGAAATTGTAGATGAGAAATAAAATAGCAAATGACTGGAAATTTTTTATTTTTGGCTAAATCATTTAGCCCAAATTGTAAATTAGTCATCATTTGGTAACTTCTTTATTTAAGGGTATTCTTTTTGTTTGCTGAGATCCACTTTCAAAACATGTCCCACATTCCCAAGGGAGGCACAGTGGGAGGAAATACATTTCAAGATAGCTTGCCCAGATTTCTAGGGAATCTCGGCAAGCTAAGTTTTACATAATTAAATTACAATCAAAGGTTTAACTTAAAGTCCTAGGGAAGTCATATTTAAATGTCAAATCATTCTGACTTAAACATCTATATAAATGTACTCTTTATCAGATGATGGTGTGCCAAAATGTAGAAAATGTATGTTTTAAAACTTGGGTGTGCAGGTGGGGCAGTGATTAGCACGCAGGCCTTAGTCTTCAACACAGCCGACCCTGGTTCGAATCCGACCTGTGGTCTTTTGCTGCATGTCACTACCCAATCCGTCCCGGAAGTACGATCCATCCTGTGCATGCGTTAACAGAAATACATCCGAAAGTCCATAAATAATGTAATTATGGTACGAAAACTACTTATTTCCATCCTTAACTCACTCAAGAATGCTAATACACATCTTTAAGAAATGTTTTATGACTTCTTTGAGATGATTTTTATGCTTTTTACGCTTTCTTCGTTAAACTGCTTCTCTGATGTCATCATGGGATATGTTCAAGGTAGTCCGGCAAAATATGATTAAACCATGTTTATCTGCATTGTCTTTAGATTGCACACTATATAGCATAAGATTAAAATGAAACAAAAACATAAAACTCAAAAAGACTAGATTTATGTTTAAATCCAAAGCCAAAAAAGTTAGCCACTGGAAGTAGCTTAGGATCCCATTTCTGGTACAGATCGGGCAGAGACGACTAATAAAATAAAATTGAAAAGGACCCGGATGTATATCTGGATGTGCATAGCGCATGTGCAGAACGGATCATGCTTCCGGGAAGGATCGGGTAGTGACACCACATGTCTTTCCCCCTCTCTCATACCCTGTTTCCTGTCAGCCTACTATTGAAAAAACGAGCCACTAGTGCCGTAAAAAAATAACAAAAAATATAAAAATCCTGTCTTAAAATCATTTTTTTTTTCTCGTTATCTTATGCAGGCCAGTTAGTTATATGTCAGCTTGTACACCTAAATTTGGCCAATCATATATCAACGGTCATCTGTCAATCAAATTTTTTCGGTCATAGCATCTTGATTCATATGTCGCAGCTAATATATGCAACGGTTGAAATAACAATCATATTTCCTTTCACATTGAGTTCTGTGTCTTCGGCAGGCGTAGAGCTAACAGAACTGGCAGCGTTGCGAGGCAAGGGCTCAAACATGTAAGCTTTTGGTGCCCTGGTGTCTTCCTCCATAACAACTTCGTCCCTGCTTTCCTCCTCTAAATCAAGGAGACTCGTCCACGACCTCCGACACATACTCTCCTCCTCTTGGATGTTTCCACTGTCCATAGCGTTCCTTGACAGTGTTGTTTCTAAGTTACCAATTTAGTGCTATTGGTCCCAATGGAATTTCTCATTGAGAACCTACTAGCACTAAGTTGCTAACTGGTTAGCAAGATGCCTCCGACAAACCGGCAACAACTAAACATGTTTGCAAACCTTCCACCACAACAATCCCAGCCCCTTGATAAACGACCAATCACATTCACTTTATTCACTCGTGTAAAATCGTGCACCACTTGGGAGAATTTGGAAATGCAACGGTTGGAACAGCTGCTTCCCTACAACTATAAATAGGAATTATTCAATCAACTGGTACAATGCAGGTAATGACATGAAACTAAGCAACAGAATGCTTGTACGTTGCAAATGCCTGAAGGCCTATTAACCACCCCATCCCTAATTATGCCCTGGGTGGTGAGCTACACATTATCAGAGTATTGTTATGCCTGTTAATTAATAAAAAAAAGATAATAATTATATGTTTTCCTTTGATGTCATCATGTCTTTGATGTTCACTGTGTCTGGTGTTTGTTTGCATAGCGTGCCTTCATGTCACTGACACAACAAAGCAGGCAGACACTCCCCATCGAACCTCAAACAGTTAAACGGTTGGTGCTCAGATAATTAACAATAAATCATGAATGTTTCCTGATTAATGTCACTGTTACTTGTATTAATGTCCTTTTCCCTGAGCCGTACTGCACATCAGCATTTGCTTCTTCGTGTGTGTTGGCTTGCTGGCTTGACAAATTACGGAGTCCAGGAAGCATTCACCATGGGCCTATTGACCAATCATGCATTCTCTGACAGACCCTTTAACGGCTGATTGTACAGAGCCTCAACCAGAACAGGTGGTTCCCAGGAACATATAGAAACATGCAAGTGCAGAAAGGACAGATAGTCATCAAACTTTGATATCTTCAATGTTATGTTAAAACCAGACTGACTAGGATTTTAACAAATGTCTTTAATTATTAATATATCTTCTGTCAAAAATAGGTTTCACTCAAAAGTTTTATAGTGTTTGTAATATTATTCCTTTGAATGGGCAAAAACCCAAAAGCTAATCTGAATCTAAATATTTTTCTGAGATGTTCAAAGAGTTAAAAGATGTGATAAATTGAGGAAACCATAAAGGTTGTTTTAATTCAAATCTATTTGTCGATTTCTTGTAAATCACTTGGGATCAGCTAATGTATGGTGCTACACAAATACATCAGGGGCCAGTAGAACTGGTCCTGGCCCCTATTACGGCATAACAGACATACTTTTAGACATTAATTATTATATATGCTGGCACAGAAATTACAAAAGATACTGTTCATACCTTTTTTTTTATCATCAGGGTGTTATTTTGTGGATAATTTTAAACTAAAATTGTTGCATTTTTGGCTTCAGAAATTAAGATATGATCACAGTTTACATGCACTTAATCGGAGGTTTCCATAGCTGCAAAATGTCTCTGTGGTTCCCTTAATATTCTAAATGATTAAATATTTGCTTATTTTTATGTGTTTGGTGCTCAGTAAAAAATAAATAAACAAATAAATAAAATTGGCCCCACCCTGGACCCCCTTTTTGTTTGGAATCCCCACTTAAGACCATGTCACCAAAGATGTTTTTTCCCCCATCCTCTTTATATACTGTATTGAAGAATACATATGTATTTTATTTTTACTAAGTGTGGACCAAAGCGTGTTTGTTTTTTCATTGATGTAACTTTTTTTAGTATCTTCTTACAATAGATAATGGGTTAAAATCTGAAAACATAAGAGAATTTGAATTATTTTGATTAAATCCTCCAGATTTAGGTCTAATTTCTTTCTTTCCTTTTTTTAGGAATATCACAAATGAATAATATGTCATTGAATTAAAGGAAGGAAACATTAGAAAACCATGTTACCCCAGACAGCAGAGACTGAAATGAGACCCTGGGTGGGACTGGGGTGAACATTTTTAGCGCCCTCATATCCAAGCAGACATAAAGGCTCCAGACATGAGACAAGAAGACATTAAAAACTAAAGAGGAATTCACCTTTAGGCCTACCTCATGGGGATTTTGACTCTCAGGTAGCGATCGATGGCGATGGCCAGCAGCGCAAGAATTGAACTTTGGGTGAGGACCAGCACCGTGCAGGCGGACAGCAGGCAGCTGTAGAAGTGCGTCTGGAGCCCGATGCTGATGGTTATGGCGAGCGGGATGACAAGAGCTCCGACCGCAATGTCAGCCAAGGCCAGGGAGACGATAAAACAGAAGGTGGTTTCTCTCAGAGAGCGGTTGATGCGCACAGCCCAAACCACCATCACGTTACCGATGACAGAGGACACGGCGATCACTACCTCCATCCCGATGTAGAGAGCCTTGGACGAAGGCAGAAGCGAAGTCATGGTCACAGATGCTTGGATGAAGGATGCGCTCAGCCTTAAGGAGTTCCCGGGTTGAGTTTGTGGGCATCGAGTGAGACACCCTGGCTTAGGATTGGCATTTTTCTTTTATGTGACAGTGAAGCAGAGTCTGGTGTTAAGGCGTATATTCAGAGTGTGCAGTCTGGATGCGCGCCAGACGCAAAACTTCACCAGTTTCCGAGAAAGAAGGGTCCCCTTCTCCCCTCCCCACCTCAGCGCACCGCAGTCCGGCTGGCTGATGGAGCGGGACAGAGCCGGGATGAGTCATGAACTGATCCCAGAGGAGCGGATCTAGAGATCTGGTATCCCCATGGGCCAAAATAAACAGATTTAAACCCAACAGTCACACATAATAACTATTCCTGGAGGGTTTTTTGAGTCATTTCCATAAATGCGTAATTAGTCGTTCCCTTTCCGCCACGATCCTGTTTACGGTCTTCATAAAATAAAGTTTAGAAATGATGATGATCAGCTGGAGTTCAGATAAGTAAAACCCTTTCCTTTTGTACAAAGTCTCATGTTTGACTGAGAGCTTGCCCTCTGTGGGAGTGGATAAAGAGTGTCTCTGGGAGGATTCACACTAACAGTTGCATCCTACTCTAAAACTGTCTCGTTCGTGTCAATTATTCAGATCCTTTTAATGCCTTTCTCTAAAAAAGTATTTATCCTCTTTGGGTCTTTCATCCCTTTAGTCATTTGATATGTTAAATTCACTCTCTATGAAGTTACAAGCCCGAACTCCAGATAAAACAAGCAGGAGCTGTGAAATAGAAGCAGTGGCGGTTCCAGACCAAACGGGGGCCAGCGTGTTTTCATGGGAGCACAGAAAAGCATGAAATACAAAAAGAGGGCAAGGGATTCAAATATATTAAGGTAGCTGTATGATGTGAAATTTCTATTCAGTTAGGTTTAATTAAAATTGTATGTCTCATTAGGTCCATGTACATTCATAATTTAGGGGTTTAACATATTTCTGACTAATTTAAGTTAAAATGACCATTTTCTATAATATCTGAATTAGAACTGATAAATTCAGCTGTAAAAATTTGAGCAATTTGCTTTGAAAAAAACATTTAGCAAATGAAAACTGGGATCCTACCTATCTCAATACCACTGAAGCTGTCACCTTATTGTTTTTAAATAATTAGTAAAAAATAACTTGTAAAGAAAAAAAAAGTAAATAGATCCAAAGGACCCATCAGTAACCATGTCTGTCCCAGCGCATATCATCATTAGAATTTCTTTGAATGTCTTCAGGACAGGGGCCAGGAAAATGATCTACAGGGGCTCTGGCCCCCATTGTCCCTGCTCTAGAACAACCTCTAAATTGAAGATATAAGAAGTTGATGTGAGTGAAGTGAGTGTGGTATAAAACATCTGTATCTATACCCTATGCCCTCAGGCAACTACGATATCTGACACGCTGGACAACAAAGCCATTCTAAAGCATATATCAATGCAATTCCAAGGCTTCAGAAGACTGCAAGAAGTCCCTTCCAGTCATACCAGGCATCTCCTCTTCATCTGGAACCATGATATACGCTGGAAGTATTGGGACACAGATTGCCAACGAGCTACTGGATTTTAACAAGATGAATTCATCACCTTCCAGTGGGAACGTCAGTCCATTCAGTCTGGTTCAGGATAAATCGCCCCAGACTCTCAATCAGATCAACAGTGTGCCAAATGGAGAAACTTCTGACATGGAGATTCCTGGAAAGTCTAGCTCGGAGGGTGAGCCTCAAGGGGCTTCGTTCTCAGGAGGAGACTCTCTTATGGGGGAGAGTTCCCAGCTGGATTTGGACAGTGTTGTCGGAGCCAGCCTGAACAGTCTGAGCAACGGCGAAGCAGCCATGGCAGTGATCATGAGCCTGCTGGAGACCGACACAAACTTGGGAGAAACCGTAGACTTTGAAGAGATGCACTGGTCCTTATAGAACCTGCTGTTGGGAAACAGGAATGCTAACTCCAAAAAAGAAGCATTTAGGGTATTTTATTTTATTTTCCCCCCAAGACTTAATTTATTAGTTCTTCCCTTTCATGACAAGCTGGACATTTTCTGGGCAACTACAAGATCCGTATTGGTGAGGACCTCCTCAGATTAAGGTTGCACCTCTGGAGCCTTGCAGCAGTTTCACACTAGTTCTAAGAAGCTCAGAAAAAATTGAAATTCACATTTTTTCATCGTGGTTTTTGAGGAAAACATAATTTTGGAAAAGAAAAAAAAAAGCTAATCACTGAGCTGATGCTTCTGTATAATTATTAGAACACGTCATGAGGAATACAGCCTGCCCCCTCTCTGTAAAGCCTCAGGATATAAACGTTAGGATGGAGTCCAGCGCAGCAGGCAGAGCCTCTAACCTCCAACTTTGGGAGTAGACTTAGATATTGGCGCTTGGAAGGTTTCTCTGTCAGTATCTGAACATTTGTCATGGCAGCAGTCCTGTAAAGCTCTTCTTTTCTACACTGTTCTAAATATGCTGTATTTGTTTGGGGTTAATTTTTAGACCATATGTGTCTTAAAGGGACAGTTTGCAAAGGAGACCCCAGTTTTTAATAACTGTTGAATCAGACATGCAGCAGCTGGGCAAACATTTGTTCTCATAGATTCAGTGGATCAACATCATGCTAAGCAAAAAATAAAAAAAAAACATTTCAAAATGGTGACTATGAGGTTTGGTAGCAACAGCTAAATGAGTCACTTTGAGTTTTATCAGTCTGTGTTTAAAGTTAATGATGATAGAAGAGATAACTCAGGGAGTTATCCAGTTTAAGGCTTTCCAGACTTCCCTGCTTTCTGTGTATTGTTGCCCTCCGTTTACCAGTTCACCTGTGTCTTCTCATGTATTATCAGCTTTATAGTTTTGCAGGTAAGCTTTAGCCCAAGGTTTTTTTTTGTGTTTTTTTTTCTATTTTAATATACATTTATGCACTGATACCTTTTTCCGAAGACATGTTAATATTCCCTGTGCTTACTGGGTATGTGCTGTGTTTTTCACTTAAAGCTGCTGTCTGTAGATTACATACATTCTCTGCTAGCATTAATGACGTATTATTATAGATTTTGTTCTAGCTGTTTTTTTTTTATTAGCGTCGATTAAACGACACACAATGTCAGTGATTTTTACAGCAAGAACTTGGTACAGATGATTTAATTTATCCTATAATTTCCATGCTTTTATACATAGATACACCCCCCAGTTATGTTTGAATAAATCGCTCTTAAAAAGGTCTTGAAGATGCCCTACAAGAAGGTTCAAAAATATCAAGGTGGTCATTCGTGAGCCTGAATCAATAGTTATTTTTGATTCTGTTCATGGTGGAGAATCCTGCTTCACAGCAGCAGGTTGAGCCAAACATACTCAAAATGTGCAGGGTCATCTTTGAGCACGCCACTTTTCTTTCACCAGTTCACCGCAGTTCTTCCAGCAGTCCACACTTTCTCTGCTCTCTTTTTCTCATCAACTTCTCCTTCTTTCCCATCGCCCGGCTTGCTACAGGTTTGCCTGCTGTGTCTAAAAGTAGCAGCAGCAGCGACCCAGACTGACAGCAGCTCATTGGATCATTTGTATCACGTGTAGCCTTGTGCTGGGCTCTCTGAAGGACTTTACCATATTAACAGAAGAAGCTGTGCAAGTGAAGTTAGACACTGTTGTCGGACAACATGCAGTAATTTATAAATGTCTTAAATCAGGTTTGGTCTGGATTAGTAAGCAGTTGGGTCCAGATCCGGACCACGGTACGCTAATCCGTGATCTCTGAGCTATAGCATCCTATGCCTATAGTAGCATAACTAAAGAGGTAGCTCAGGATAACTTGAGTCACTCAAACCATAAGCTTGTTTTCTAGGAATTCTTTTGTAAAGCAACTTTAAAATAATATTTTTGGATGAGACATTCATTGTCATATCGAAATGTTTGGAAAATGTAACTGCAAAAGAGTGAAATATGATGATTTTTACCCAAAACATACAGTATCTTATCGTTATATGTTTTTATTTAGGGCTTCCACGCCCCTCTGCGCAGGGTCCGTGTGGACCAAAGTTACACATGGAGTCCTCACAGAGGGTTGTCGAAGCCATAAATTACGTAATTTGGCCGAGCGGACATTGCAAACACTTCAAGCATTAACAAAGCTTTACTCCCAGGAACTTAGATCGGTAAGCGACCACAGGGGGGATTTTGACTAAAGTTTTTCCTTTAAGGGGAGTTTAATCTTTACATAAGCAACGCTCCAGTTAGGCCCAACTTATAGTACAGCCTAGTGATTAAGTGTGGAACTTCTCGGCTGGCTTAGAAGATACGCACAGGCGGTGATGCGCTGCTTCCACAGGTGCAGATTTATATATATATATATATATATATATATATATAGATGTGCCTTGCGACCTGTCCAGGTGTACCCCACATCTCGCCCAAAGACAGCTCGAGATAGGCACCAGTACAGCGCTTGGGATAAGCGTGTCAGAAAATGGATGGATTTTTTTAAGCTCTAGTGAGAAGAGTAGGGAGACAGGAAAATGGTTTAGAAGTATGGTAAAGATCAGATGAGGACTTGAACCTGCAACAGCCAGTATGTGGGTCATGCACTCTACCTCCACTCTAAAGAAGCTTCCCCACAAGCTATATTCAATAATCATTTTGGAGATATAATTTGCTTATATAGAAATATTGATTTACTAAAACAATTTCGCTTAAGAATAATTCATTGGTAAAAACATGTGATACTAAAATAATTGATTGCTGCAGGCTTAAAAAGTAGGAATGTACAAAATGGCAAGTAGGTTCGTAATGGGGGCACATTTTGGTAAACCCAGAGTCTGTTCAGGTTATCAAATCAGACGTTAGAAAGTTTTAGACAAAACCCATTAATGGATTGATGTCTTTGATAATGGGCTGCATCAAAGGAATCATGTTGACTTATTATAAAAGAATAGTAATTATATGACTCAATAATAACTTCAATTCTTAATCAGTTCATTTTCATTTTTGATTATTTACTATTTTGTCATTAAATTATATAAATATACATTAATTAATTAATGTATTTATCAAGTGTTTAATATTTAGGTATTTGCTAAATATCATAATGGCTTTATTGATTTAAACAACTGTAGCATTTCTTGTACTCCGTTATTTCAAGCCATCAGACTCCAAGATGTCATAATGGAGGGTTATCTACAGCTGTATTTACTGAGTTGGATGTGACTGTGGCTAAAGGCTGGAATCCAAAAGCAAAGGAATATTTAAAAAGCGATAAAAGTTAAATACTTTCGAATGGATGAACAATATAAGGACCAGCGAGGAAGACAGATGGTCATGTGTTTTATGAGACACAATATTGGACACATGAGCTGGGATATCAGTGGAAAACAGCTGCACTCTGTTACAAGACAGATGCATTGAAATAAACACATAAAAATGCAAATTAGAAGCATATGAATTGGAAGATGCATAAAAGCGAAGTGGAAGATGAAGCATGGACTCAGACAAGCAGAAATTCATCTCCATTTTCTTTAATTGAACCTGTTTTTTGGCAGCAATTTTGTGACTTTTAGGTTGCAAGAAGAAACATAAACAGGAGGTGGAAAATGATCAGTGGCAGGGCTTCCCTCAATCACCTTGAAGACAGTAAACAGCTTCCCGCGAGTCTCCTTTGAGCAAAAATACAAAAGAACATCTGAGAGTTATTAGTAACAATAGCAAAACAGGGTCTCTGATGGCTGATGTTAGAAGGGGTGAGTAAAGTTTCCTTTTTTTTAAGGTGCTTCTTTTGATGGAGATACAAGCTTAACATTTTAAGTAACTCTCCTAATTTCCAGTTGGAGAAGAGGTAAACGCTCCACATGTCATTGCATATTATTTGATTGCTATTCTAATCTTGAAACCATGTTTAAGCCACATTCTCAAACCACTTTAACATTTTAATTTGGAAAAAAACTATAATTATTTATACAGAACATAGAAGTAGGAGGTGATGCTCTACCACTGATCTTCCTTTGTGAAGACAAGGTGGCCTCCTACTCTTCTGTATGAATATTGATTAGTTTTACTTTCCAATGGTGATGATGGTTTCTTGAAGATTTACATTTAAGACATCAAAATTCCTCAGTGCTTAAAAATAAGTCTGCTTAATTGATTCTCTTAGTTTTTAAAGTAGCACTGACCCCATAGCCGACCATATTGTTATTTTATTTTTTATTATTTATTTTATGTTGTGTTATTTATTGTTATATTATGTCTTATTAACTGTTGTTGAGAGTAACAGAAACCTTTTTGGTCAGAAGTGAAATGTCATGGCATTCAGAAGTCTGCTTTATCTGTTTATGTTCACACCTTTTAAACTACCAACACATTTGGGCAGCTGTTTATACGCTGATCATTTTCCCACAGGAAATTGCTTCCTACTCAACCCTCTGTTTCTATGACATCAATCATAGAGCTCATTTAAAAATAAGTTTTTGGGTTTGAATGAACTTTCCGTGTCCTACCTCTCTAATCTGGGTTATCCACTGACCTTCTCTGTATAGGGGGGGCTCCTACAGGTATCTACGTCTAAGAGAGGTCAAAGGGTTAAGGACTTCCTCCATTACTGCTCCTCCTTTTTGGAGGAACTGCTCCTTCATGGACTACTTCTTGTAGACCATGGAATCTTGTAAAGTCTTGAAAAACTTGCCTGTTTGAAAGATGAAATCTTGTAAAACTTGGCTGTCTTTATTCTTTGGTTTTTAAAATAAATGAGGCATGGGTTTGACCCTGTTTGTGCTGAACTTGGTTTTATTGTTTTTTTTTTATTGTTCTTAAACCTTACTAGTACATTCTTGTTCTTTTGATGCATATGTCATAGTTTGCAGCTATGTTTAGCACATTGTCTCAGTTGCTTTCCATTTAAAGCACTTTAAAAAAAAGTTGCTATAGTAACCTTTTAATTAATATTACTAAATGCTTTCAACCCCAAGATCTATATCCAGCCATTCAGCAAAGATACATGTACATGTCCCGTACATCTTATTTTGGTATTTGACCAATTAAATGATATTACCTACTTTAAATTAAG